GAACTCTGAGGTAACTTCTAACATTAAGAATATATACGACTTTATTTCAGTTAAATTCTCCAGGTCCTGGCTTTTAATCAGAAATGCTTTTTAGACTTTATTTAACATTTCTTATTCAGTTATAGTATTTTCTTTGTCATTTTCATTGTTAATTTGTTTATTTCTGCCTGTTTTTTTATTTATTTAATTAATTTTTTAGTTTTGCTTTTATTAAACGCTATTGTTATATCCGTTAAATCTAAATAAATTAGTTTCGTATTTTAAAATCTACCTTGACTAGTTTTATATTCTATTATCGTCTTATCAGCACTGAACTGTATGAAAGGTGCTATACACATTAAGTTTGATTGATTTTTTTTAATCAATTGAAAAACGTATGGGTTAGGATAATTCTGACTTTATTCTTTATTTTTGACAATAAATCTTCCGACTGAAGACGTCCAAGCCGCTGTATTAATGTCGATACGCTCACTGTTTGTTCCAGCTGTGCACGCAGATCGAGCAGCTGGAACAGGAGAACCAGGGCCTGAAGGATGGAGGAACCGCCGCTGCAACCAGCCCCCCAACCAACCCCGCCTCCAGCCCTGTGGACGGAGAGCTGCTCCGCCTGCAGGCTGAAAACTCCACCCTGCAGAAGCAAATGAAAGGTGTGAACGAGCAGTTAAAATCTGTATTTGGTGATCAGAGCCGGTCATTCAAGTTGTTCATAAATACAACAGAAGGTCTCTACTGACTACTAGTTTACATGAACTGTTCTAATTCTTTTTTTTTTTTAAGAAGATATATTAATATCATAATCATAAATAATTTCTTTCACTGTGGGACACTTAAACAAGAATGTTTAACTATTTTCTAGCCTAATATTAATTAGTCATTTATTGGTTGTGGCCATGTTTTTAAGTCCACCTCTAAAACTGAAGGAGAAACATGTAATAGACAAATAAAACGGTACCCAGTACGGAACCTTGTGGAGCTCCACAGGGCAGAGTCACAGAGAAAAACAAATAGAAACACATGTCCTGTTCTTTCTACAGGTGGAAACATATTGTTGTATATGTTGTGATCTTGTTCTGTATTTGTAGGTAATTTATTAAATACAAATTCGTACTTTCAGATTTGGCGTACAAACGTCTGTCCACACTTAAACAAATACGTGTCTGTTTACATGATTGTATTTATTATAAATAAATAAATGTAAATTGTAGATTTGATAATCCCTTCTCAGGATAAATCTTTTTTATTTATTTGTTGACTGTGATTGTGATCCGCAGCCCTCCAGGATCGCTACGACAGAGAGCTCCAGAGACAGGTGGTCGCCCAGGGCAACCAGAGCGCTACCACGGAGACCGACGGCGGGTCAGCCGGCGCCAACGGAGTCTCTGATGTCACGGGAAGAGGGGAGGAGCCAGCAGCAGAAGGAGCCAATGACAGACCGGAGCAGGTGATTGAGAGACAGCGTTTCTTAGAGGAATATTTATGGTCGCACAATATTGATTTTATTTAGCTGATAACCGATAATTATCCATCAGGGACTACAGATATAAATTAGCTTATAGCTGTCAAATAAATTAACTAATAAACCTGCTTCTAATGGCTGACACTGATAATATCTCCAATATTTTCACATTATTGTCTTTTGTAAAGAAGTTTAAAACCTGTAGTTTATAGTGTAAGAAAGGAATGTACTGATTTAATTTATAGTTCTGTTGAGTTATAAGAATTCAAAATAAATGATTATTATTGCAACTGATAATTTATGGGCTATAATTTAATTACAGGATCGATGCATAATAATCTAACATTTGATAATTATGTATAAACGTGTGTATTTACATTATTGTGTGTTTGCAGACGGAGGCTCAGCAGGAACACACAGGGAAACAGCTACATGGTGAGTTTACAGTTTCTTATTCATTACACAGCGTTTCCCTTTAAATCTGTTTAACTCACTTCCTCCCATGTGACCTTTAAAGCTGCAGCAGTAGGTAACTTTCATAAAAATAACTTTTTGTTATATTTCCTCCACCGGGCCCGAACGAAAACAACCAATCCGAGAAAGATAGAAAGACGCTTTGTGTTGGAAGCTTGAAGTTGAGTTAACTGTTGAGTCTCATTCTCAGTGTCGGTACCGATCGGCCCGGTAGATTCTTCATCAGGAGCACCAGGAGGATCCACAGGAACCTGAGTTATCTGTCTCATGTTCTACTGTCAGGATATAGTGAAACCTTCAGGAAATAGGATTTAAAATATTTTCATGAAAGTTACCTACTGCAGTTTTAATAAAAGTTACCTACTGCAGTTTTAATAACTCTCTGGTCTGATCATTTATTTTACTTGTTAACTCTTATATTAAAGTAAACAGTTCAATTAATTAACTGTGAAGCTTTTAATGAGAACGGGTTGAATAGTCGACTTACAGACCAAAGTTTGAATTTCACATGGAGAGAAACCGAATTCTCCTCGATAAGGTCCAGAGCATGTGAGTGATGGGACTCACACAGGGGTACCGGGGTTAGACGTACGCATGCTGGAGTGAAACTGGAGTGAAACTGGAGCGGGAGATAAGGAGTTGCTCGACCTTTTTAAAAACCATGTGATGTCCTGGCGCTCACATGCTCTGATAAGGTCTCAGTAAGCTGATGATTGTCTTCATACGCACTGTAGTGAGTGGCTGTAAAGGAGCACACTGAACTCTAACCATTGCGTCAATGATCAGATTATTTTCAGTTTCATAAAGACATTTTCTGGTTGTCGTTGGGCCAAGCTCAGCCTCTACTAATAATTTAATATAAACAAGGGATGCACGTTAATACATCACATAAATCGTGCATCTCTGATGTAAATAAATCTCATCTCAAACTGTAATGTATTGATGATGTGATTGATTATCTGTGAAGTGAACGATGGAACAGCTGGTGACGACAGTGTGGCCCTTCGTGGTGCTTGTTACCCTAAATTCTCAAATATTGTCTGTCATTCACCTGCAGAACGACCTGATGATGTGATTATTGTGTGTATTTGAGAGTTAACGGTGACGTTGCAGCCCGGCTTTATGGAAGCGTAGAGCAGCTAGCTGGCTCAGGGCAGACACACACTACAAGCTTCAGTCGTATTTAAACTGATGTCATATAGAATATCAGCTTCGGCTCTGGAATCTGGGATTTTCTGGCAAAGCTGCAAAACAAATTCACACCCATTTATTATAAATGTGAGCGTCCCTGTAATATTACTGCAGTCTCAATGAGAGCAGGAATGTGTGTTTATTATGGGATGGAATTGTCCCTGTTATTGATAATCAGTGTAAATATCTTCATATTCAGCTCTCTAGGAGTAAATCTTTCAACGTATTCAAACTATTGAATTTCTACCCTGATCCAAATCTCGTTCTGTGATCAGAGAGTTCATGATTCAATCTAAAATAAACGGGTTTTAAACTGTAGTTAGTTTTAAACTGATTATTAAGGATTATTTCTGTAATATTGATACTGAAACGTGGAAAAGTCATAAGTAGCCTAATTTCTGCATAAAGCAAATGATTTGTTCATTTAGTGTTACCCTATGAAATATCAAAGCTAGTGCTATGAGATTAATAAATAAAATATAAAATACATATATTGAATATATCTGCTGTCCTCTCCTGGCACATAATGTCTCCTCCTAGTGGTGGCTGTGTCTTTAAACCCTTTGAAATATATTCCTGTAAATATGAGCACACATTGTTTTATGTTTAGCATAAAATGATACAAAACTAATTTCTGTTAGCGTCTTAATAGTAATTCCCATTATGTGGTAGCATCGAGCTATGTGCTACTTATTTTTATACATAATTCAGGAATTAAAAGATGGTGAATAAAAGAATGTCGATACTAATTTGAATTGATTCAATTATTATTTAAATGCTCATAATCAGATGAATGTATCTGGTTTTACAGTGTGTATGAGAGGTTATCTTACAGTCAGATGTGATCAGTATTTACAGGTCGGATTCATTACGTTGACTTCCAGATGAAGTGAGCGTACGAACACTTTTAGGTGGTTTAACAGAGTTCAGATGAACGCGCTGTCAGTGAACGCCTCAGCTGCAGCTCAGACAGAAAATCCCAGACGGAGACCTGGTCCAACTCCATGATGGACTCTCCATGATGTAGAGTGAGGAGCTGGTGTAGTGTGTGTCTGGGCCTAACAGACTGCCCCTGCTGTGTGCGGCGCCCCCTTTAGGCCTGTCAGAGAAGAGCGTAGAGAAGATTGTAGCTAAGCAGTCAGCGATAGGCTGGTCGGCTGCTCTCTGTCCAATAACTCACTGCTTTGGACCAGAGCTGGAGATGGCACTGAACACCGAGCAGGAGGAGAAGAGGCTGCTGAGGGAGCAGATCCACAACCTGGAGGTACCGACACACACACACACA